AGATTTAACATGGTGATTGTGATTCAATTCACTGATTGCAGCTCAGCGACATCCGCTCCTCACCGCCCGACAGCTCGGCGATCTTGGGTGTGTGATACGCCATGCGCTTCAGGTTAAGATGAAAAAAGTCATGGGCAGCGCAATACCTGAACTTGGACATCAATCCCTGAGCAACAACAGCCAAAGTACTCGCTTTGCTCTGCGGCAGAAGGCGGCGCCAAAGAGGTGCAGAGCTCGATCAAGCCTGGGCTGCAAGCGATCGACACCAACACCGACACTGACATGGCTTCGGGATCAGGAACGGGAGTGACGAGCACAGGTCGAGGCGGAGGCGTTACGTCGAGCTATTCAACTCCTGCATCTCTCCTGCCCAGCGCCATCAACGCAGCGCCTTCAGCCTCCTACATCGTCTCTTCCCATCCTCTTTCTTCATCATCCTCTTCAAGCATGGGCCCCACAGATTTGGCCCTCTCGCGCTCCTTCATTCCTCGCACGTCTTCTCTCAAAGACAGCATGGAGAGCTACAGAGCTTATCGCGATGAGCGCAAAGAACCGCATGGCGTTCTTCGAACGTATGATATACTCGGATTCCTCAGCAGTGGAACGTATGGACGGGTGTACAAGGCGAGGCTGAAAGAAGACAATGCGCTCGCCTTGAAGAGGAACAGGCGAGCGGCGGGATCTGCACCTTTCTTCCGCACGGCAGCTGCGGAGAGAGATGCGAAGATTGTGGCAGAAGAAGAATCGAACGTATTTGCTATCAAAAAGTTCAAACCTGACAAGGAGGAGCAGACCGGCTACACGGGCATCAGTCAGAGCGCAATGAGAGAGATTGCTGTAAGTCGGTCGCAAGAGGTGCGGTGTGGGACCGATGCCTGCGCCTCTCGGATCTTCAAAGAACCATCAGATGCCTTGCCCGCCCTTTGATCTTGCCCACACACTTGATCACTGATGCGCCATGTTCCCCTTCAATTCAGCTCAACCGCGAACTGAGCCACATCAACCTCGTCACGCTGCGGGAGGTGATCTTGGAGGACAAGGCAATTTGTGGGTCTGCTGCGATTCCTGATCCTGCATTGCGCGTCATTCTTTCCAAAGCTCGTCTGATGCCCCTTGAAGCCGCCTCGCCTCATCTCTTTATCCAACGCAGACATGGTCTTTGCCTACGCCGAGCACGATCTGCTTCAACTGATTCATCATCACCACGTCACTCTACGAAGTTCCATCTCCTCTGCCGTTCTGAAGTCCATCCTTCATCAGCTCCTCTACGGTCTGTCCTACCTGCACTCTCACGCCGTGCTACATCGAGACCTCAAACCCGCCAACATCCTCCTCACCTCTTCTGGCATCCTCAAAATAGCTGATCTGGGTTTGGCTAGGCTCTCCTCACAACCTTTGCAGAGCCTGTATACGGGGGACAAGGTGGTAGTCACGATCTGGTACAGGAGTCCAGAGCTGCTGCTGGGAGCCAGGCACTACGGTACCGCCGTGGATGTTTGGGCAGTGGGCTGCATTTGGGGAGAGTTGCTGGCACTCAGACCCATGTTCAAGGGTGATGAGGCCAAGGGGGATGGCAAAAAGGGCACACCTTTTCAAGGGTCAGTAGCTGCGCGTTGCGTGTTTTGACCGCGTCGTGTTGACCTGAGCCCTCTTCGAACGTGCTCCACATCGCCTTCGCCCGCAGTGACCAGCTCAAGAGGATCGTTGAAGTGTTGGGCACACCTACAAAAGATAGGTGGAACGACATTGATTTGATGCCAGAGTACAAGACTTGGTGGCCACACCTACGTCTTGAAGGGTGCGTGCGATTCACTTCCTCTTCTTCAGCTGACTTTCAACTCTTGAGTGTCACTGACTTCCAACATGACTTGTCCCCGACCGCTCTGGCCATTCTTCTCCTTCATCGACAGATACCCGGGCGCTCTCTATCACTGGTACACCGTTCGCGCAAAGACATCGTCTGGCTTCGACCTGCTGGAGAACCTATTGCAATACGATCCTGCCAAGAGACTGACGGCTGCTCAAGCTTTGGATCATCCCTGGTTCAAAGAGGTGCCTTTGCCCACTGCCGAGTAAGTCGAGACGTTTCAAAGCACGTGTGCTTCTTGCACGGAACGCCTAGCTTCCTATTCAAAATGCCAAGCATGTATTGTTGATGTCTGACTGGCCTCTCGGTCTCCAAGCGCATTTGCCTCGCTGGACAGGAGCACAGATACGTATCCTAAACGTAGGCTGATCAAGGACGAAACGGACACAAAGATGGTTCCGGTAGTCGCAGCTCCCAACACCAACACCGCCGTTGGCGGTATGGCCAACATTGTTGGTGCAGCTGGAGGAGGAGGAGGA